GAGCACAATTTTTTGACTTTGCGATTTGCTCACTTTTTACATTTCTTTAATTTAAAAAAAAATGGAATTTGAATTAAATTTTATGTAACGTTATCTTAAAGCTGATTAAATTCCCTTCAAAATGACCTATTATTTTTTTAAATTTTGTCTATAGACTTCTAGCATTTACCCAAAATGAACTCGGTATCTCATAATAGGGGGATCTGTGAAGCTAGCACGAAATTCTATCGATATCAAAAAAATTAAAACAGTTCCAGTAGCACTTTTCATAGTTCTACAGTTCTACCTAAAAATAAAAAATAGTTCTGCACTTTTAATATGAAAAATGCATAATTGCAAATATGGCGTGCTAATTCCGCGAATCTGGCACGTCAGTTTTCCTCTAAAGTACGAGAAAATGATAAATATTTGCACTTTTATCAACAGTTCCCGACAGTTGCGTTAAAAATCTAATAAAATATGCAGTTTCAAAACAAAATACCAAAATTTAACAATTTATATACATCTTATATACAGAAAATAGCATAACACTTGAAAAGTGTCGTGCTGCCTGCATATGGCAGTTTTAGCAGAAGTTTTTGTTAGTCCTAGCAGAGTTCTATTACAATCATTTTTAAGCAGAGTTCCGGCCACTATATATTTTTTTTCAATTTTTTAATACCTGAGTCCAGCACGACACTTGTTAAAAATGTGACGTGCTGACTATATATATCGGCTCTAATGGCAGTTCTCGTTAATTCTAACAGTTCTATGCATTACAATCATTTTTAAGCAGAGTTCCGGCCACTACATATTTTTATCAATCTTTTAATACCTATGTAAATAATTTATGATAAGTTTATTATATTATTTATATTAATAGGGAAAAAACTGGTTATAATTGTGAGTATTGCATGAACAATTCATTCTTTTAATATTTGTGTATATGTGCAATACAATATGTGTACACGTGGTATATATAATTAAGATATTTTCATATAGCGTTATTGAATATTTCTTTATGTTTTATGTTTCAGTATTCCAAATATAGTATTATACATTGAATTTACTCCTAATATATTTAAATATAGTCTATTAAATAAAGTCGATTATATGAGAAATGGGTTGAAGGTTGATTACTATGTAATTACTGCAAATGTAAGTATTGCAATTATATTTAATTTTTATTAATGTTATATGGTTTTCATATATATATATACATATCTGGAGACACTGGTAGATTTAATAAGTTATATATATAGTTATATATACCACAACATGTAATATCATATATATATATATTTTTATATTTACATAATTTTTACTTAATTATTGCTCAAAATAAAATAATCAATTTTTCATTGCACTATAGCCAATCTTTTTTGCTGCGATCACCAATATTCCTTATTTAATGAACTTAAAAATATAATTTTGGAAGCCTGTTTTCCTTTTAACCGATTGCGTTTCTCAGTAATGATATTGCCGGCTTTACTGAACAGTCTTTCACATGGCACGGAGGTACCAACAATGACTAAATATTTTAAAGCTATTTCGTACAAGTGTGGATGCAGTGCTCTCAAACGCTGCCAAGTTTTTAAAGGACACTTTCTTCTGTCTGCTACTGGAGAGATGAGGTATTGTCGAAATTCAGCTGATAAGCCTCCGTTCTCTCCAAATTCGTCTAAATTTTCAGATCTAGATGTCACCAATTCGTCGTGTATGTTCCACACATTATGTTTTTTAATATTGCTTTCGATATTCGATTCGGAATAGCTATTTTCATTTTCGGATTCAAACATCTCCTTCATAAGTTTATTTACTTTTGTTTGAGCATATGAAACTGCGGTAATACTATGAAAGTGCATCTTTTTATAACGTGGATCCAACAACGTTGATATTGCTAAAAAACTATTTTTTTCTATATTTGATTTTTCTGAATAAAATCTTTGTTTTATTTGATTAAGGATGTTTTGTTTTAGAGATGCAGATACTTCCGTTTTTGGAATTAGCCGATCGATAGTTACCATTGAGCAATTAACAATTGGGATTATTTTACTGCACGTTACATATTTTTCCCTTGAAATTTCTACTGTAACCAATTCTATTGGAGATAGTAATTCACACGCATCTTCAATAGCTTTCAATTCCGCACGAGATATCATTTCTGGTGAATCTGCAGATCCTAATATTGAATTATTGATAAGTACTGCGCTTACATGATTTGCTAATTGCAAAAATCTTGATATCATCAAAAACGTCGAATTCCATCGTGTTTTACATTCTTGTTTTAGCTTCAAAATTTTATCTTCCGTTTTGCCTTCCTGTCTTTGCAATTTTTTTAGTGCATGTGTAGCGTTAACACTGCATTTGAAAAATGTAACAATACGCTTGACCTTTTGGATAATTGGTTTCAGTTCCTGTGTTGAAGATATAGCATCTTGTATCATCAAATTCAACGAACGGGCGAAGCATGGAACATGTTTGTTACTTCCAAATGTATCGTACACTGCTTTTTTCATGTTGGCAGCATTATCAGTGATTATAGCACACACACTCGTATTCTGTATATTCCATTCTTCACAAATATTTTTGAAAACTTGGGATATATACACTGCCTCGTGTCGGTTTTCAAGTTCTTGCATTCCAAGATCTATTGATTCCAGAGTGAAGTTTTTACAGTCAATATAGTGTATTGTTATACCTAAAAATCCTTTTGTATTGTATGGATCAGTCCATATATCTGAAGTAAGAGACAAATTCTTGATGTTTGACAAGATAGCTTTAATTTTATATTGCATAATATGATATTTATCGTCCAAACGGGTTGTGATCGTTTTCCTACTAGGAATTTTATATAATGGTACTACTAATTTCATAAGTGCTCTAAAACCTTCATTGTCAACAATTGACAGGGGTTGATGATCTTTAGCAATCATGTATACGATACTGTTAGTAAGCCGAGCAGCCATAGTATCTGAATCTAAAAATAAATAATTTTTCACAAAATATAAGTGTCACAAAAGCTTCTGTAAATCGTTATTTCTATCAAGATGAGACAAATATACTTATTATTCCTGATAACATATTAATATATTGAAAATTAAAATTTAATTTTTAATTTTTTACATGTCAATACAAAATTAAAATTTTAATTCTGAATACTATGTGAATGCATTAAGAATTACAATCTCACATTCTTAATTACTAGTATGTATATTGAAAATGTAATACATTTATCTGATTAATTACAAAATTAATTTTGCATGTTTAATTTGTATATTTTAATCTCTTCATGTATATTTAAAAGTTATAGTAGAAACAATAAGAATATTCCAATTTTATTTAAAGAAAAACAATTTTATTTATTTGATAACACTATTACTTGAAAATTTTAGATTTACTTATAAATTAAAACAAATACAAAAGCTGTAAATACCTGCATATGAATTTATTTTATCAAATACTGCAGTAATAGAGCCTTTAGAGGCAAGATCCTTTTTAGTTTTATCGTCTGAAGACTCTGAAGTTACATTAAAAGTCATATCATTGTCGTTGAGTCCTGATATTGAGGTTGACATATGTGAAGACAATACAGAGACATCTTTTGAACTGGTAGAAGGTGTAGCTGGATCATCAGTGTCATTTTGATTTTCTAAATAAGAAATCTTCTTTTGGTGCGGATCTTCGGTAATTTTGTTAGTATGTTTTCTCATCATATGATTAATTAAATTAGTTGTGTTTCCATAATATTTGTATATGGTATGACACAAACGACAACGTGAAGATATACTGTCAATTTTTTGAAAATATAATTCTTTTATCCTGTTTTTCTTTTTTGATGTTTTCATTATTTAGATATATTATCTTTATGTATCTAAAAGCAAGAATATAACTTTAGTAAAGCAAAAATATAACTCTGATAATGAGTCTAAAGTAACGTACTTTATATTCAAATAAAATGATGTTATTACTTGTTTACTTTGGTGACAAAATCAGTATGTAACAATACAGGTTTTAAAACCTCACTTTTAACGTGAATTAACAAGATTTACATTCATTAAAATATACGACCAAGCTTGTATAGATTGTAGGTAAAAAGTGAGTTGATTCTTACTTGTCAGAATGAAAAGAAACATACATTCAACTAACAAGTCATAACATTACAAATGAGAATATCTGAGTTTTGATAAATGAGTGTTTGTAAATGGAAAGCAACTATTGTCATCTGTTTTTTTACTGGAAAGCACTCTTTGCATCAAGGATTACAAACATTAGGCAATATTAGGCAGTCGTGGAGTCGTGAAATAATCGTTTTTGGTACATGCTGATGTGTGATAGAAAATAGAGAATTTATCAAAAGTATATCAGATTCAGAAGTATGCGTCAATATTTCATGCCTATTACAATAAATATTATCGTGACAATACCTGCGATTCTTGTCGCCGTTCGTGATATCGGCCAATAACGGGTAATGAAACAGAAATTAACATCGGAATAGCAATAGCGCTCGTACTGTGTGCTGTACAGTACTATCAACTATGCATGTACGTGACTTAACCTCCTTGTCAGCGTGCTTAACAATACGCGTGCAACTTAACTTGCATCAATTGCATATCGATAAGTTGTTTCTTTTTTTACATGTAGGTACCGCAGCATAAAAACGACGCGCGCGTTGCCGCCGTTGCCGGTTCGAACTTGCGCGAGGTATGGCTCACGTGATATCTGTACTTTCATAGACTATTGGACTTAATAGAGGTCCCAACAATCAATTAGGCTATATTTTCATGCACTCACAGCTGACGTTCGACACTCGATTCGAGCATCAAATTAATCACGTGATCTTCTTCTTAGCGGGAGAATGGCCCTGATCAACCAATCACAATATATTATTCTCATATTCGACTGCGATTAGCCAAAAAGGAACCGATTCTCTAAAAAAAGGAATCGATTCAGTAGGGCCGCGGTCCGATTCACGCTCACAGTTCTATCAGTGCTTACGACATTGGCTGCTTTCCTTTTAGGAGACACAGTCCATGGTATAAGGATAAGGGTATGCTCACGCCGTGGATACCCACTGCGCAGTCAAAGTGTGACGTCACTCTCGGAGCCAATCAGACCGCCCAAACGAAAACATGGCGGCTCCTGATGCTTGACACGATATTAATGTTCGGTGTTACATACACAATGTCCTGTTCTGTGAAAGGTTGTGGCAATTATTTTCGCAAAACAAAATTGCTTAATGGA